GCAGCCGCCCCCGACGGTGCACCCTGAGGAGACTCAGGATGGGAAAGCACAGGATACGGGACCCCTGACAGCTGAGGTGCATCTTAAAGGAATGACTTCAGTGAGCCCAAACTCTTGCACCTTCCCATACACAGAAAAGCACTACATTCCTTAACTTGAGATGTCTGGTTTCTTTAACAATAATCTTTTGATGTTCTGACTACCTGGTCTTCGTTGCAAGAACTCCTATATGTGCTGGTTCCCCCCATGACCTCTTGGGAGCAGTCCCTCAGAGCTATCTGAGAAGCTGCGTCCCAGGCTTAAGTCCTCAGTTTTGTCCGCCAAATAAAACATAATTCTCAACCTTTAGGTTGTGTGTGTGTTTTTTTCAGTCTACAGGACACTTGTCTAGCCCACCGCCCGTGCACAGTGGCCCCGGCCAGCCCCATGACTGCCCTAGCTGTCCCGTGGCGTGCTGCTGGGGGCCTGCCGTGCGGACCACAGCCACTAACACCATCCCCATCACGGGCTTGGCACAGGGCGGCCCTGGTGAACACGGGCAGAACGGGAGGCCGTGGGTGTGCAGGCGGATGGGTGGACGCGGGGTGTTGCAAAAGGCCTGCCCTCCTGCCCCGGGCAGCCCCCCGGCCATACCAGCCCAGCCCTGAATCCTGTGCTCCGGGGTTGCCTCTCGGGCGCAATCTCTCTTAAGGCAGGACAGGATGTGCTGAATCAGCCCTCCTCTGGTGGCAACTGAGTCCCCTGCAGGGCCCCCAGGGGACTGATGGGCTCAGCCCTTCCCAGAGAAGGGCTGGAGCCCATGCCCCGGCACCCCAAGTGTCTGGGTTCCAACAATGCCCGTGAGGAGAAGACACCTCCCAGCAACCTGGACCCCTGCGCCGATGTTCTGAAGCCCTCAGGCCAGAGGCAGACTCGAGGAGGTGGGAGCTTAGCTGGAGAGAACAAGAGAAAAGAACGTTCACAGCTAGTCTACACTTGGCGGGTAGCCCGGGGAGATGGGCGCCCACCCCAGCTCCAGGGGCCTCCTGCCACCGCTGGCCACTGTCACCTAGGGACAAGGATCGGATGTGACACGGGAGCTAAGGGCTGGCCCTGGAGGTCCTGCCGGCGTTCAGCTTCCAGCACAGCACTCCACCCCCACTGCCGGGCAGCACCTGTGTGACCTGCCCTTGGCACCAGGGTGCAGATGTGGGTGCCCAGTGCCCAGGTCTCCAGAGACACCTGCAGGCCTGAGGCAGCTCCAGGGCTCAGATGCCACTCCCTCACCAGCTGTTAGTGTGATGCCAGCCACCTACGCTGAGTCTCGGGTGCCAGGTCCGTAACAGCAGCCCCGATGACAAATGCTTCTGAGAGGGTTAAATAAGCTCACGACTGGGGCACCTGGCGTGGATGCAGGCACCACCCAGAGCTCACGAGTGGTGTCCGAGATGGGGGAACAAAGCACTTGGGGACGAATGGGGGAAGTCACTCAGGGTGATGGGGAGGGGTTGCAGAGCGCAGGGCTCTGGCTGGTGGTTCCTGAAGCTAAGTGGAGTCTTAAGAGATGGACATGGGGTTCGGGGACCAGAGAGGCACTGCAGATAGGACCTCAGCCCGGTCCTATGCCTACAGGAGGGACTGGGACAGTAGAGCAGGGAGGGGCACTCGGGGGACGCACTGGGTACAGACCCCATTCTCTGGCCCTGGCACTGGGTGGAGAGTGGGGGGCCCATGCCGGAGGGGCAGCAGGTGTGCTAATCTCTGCTCGTCACGACCTGCAGCCTTGTCGAGGGTGCGTGGGCCCAGCCCCTTAGCCACCACTGCTGTCACAGGCCCCTCCCATCCCCCTCACCTGCCGCAGCCCCCCGGCTCAGGACCACCGGTCTGCAGCCTTCCGAGTGAGGGCTGCTCCTCCAGCAGGTCCTGGCAGCACTGTGGCGACTGCCCCAGCAGCAGCAGAGCGAGGGAGCCTTCCTGCCACAAAGCCCCGCTTCCCAAGAGCTGAGGGAGGCCCAGACGGGCCCAGGCATCAGCTTCCTACCCCAGTGCCCGCCACATCCTCATTCCTGAGACCACAGCACCCACGCCGTGGGCTGGGGAGCACGGAAGGAACAAGGCCCGTGTGGCACTCAGCCAGGCAATGTCAAGTGCGATCCCGACCCTGAGGGATGGACCCTTCCAGAAGGAGGGGCTAGCCCAGGGACATCCAGAGGTCCCTGCGCCCAAAGCATCCTGAAACCATTATCACCACCGTCCCCTCCTCCTCACAACCTCATATAAAAGCAGACTCTGAACCCAGCCCCTCACTCGGTCTCTCCTCCTCAACTACTGTGAGTAATACAGTTTTCATTCCCGTTTTCCAGATGAGAAAGCTGAAGCTCAGAGAAGTTAAGCAACCAGGGTCAAGCAGCCAGCAAGAGTCAGAGCCGACCCTTCCACGGTCCCTGAAATGGGGGGAAGGCCTGGAAAAGTAAAGGGCTCCCTGGGTCCGGCTGACCTACCCCCCACCCTCTCCCGCTTGGGGAAGAACTGCCCTCCAGGGTCCCGGGGATGGGCAAACACCAGACAGGGTCAGAGCCACCTGGCCTGGTCTGGGTGGCCTGAGATGGGAGGAGCCTTTGGGACCCACAGGTGACCAGCCTAAGTTCCCAGAGTGTGGGAACAGGGACTCAACAAGGAAACGCCAGTGTTCTCTTTGAAGCCTATTCCCCAGGACCAAGATATTTTGCTGGTCAGATTTTTCTCCCAAAGAGGAAGACAGCACATTAAAACAAAACAAAGCAGAGAAACCTTAAAGAGAACAAAGCCTGTTCTCATCCAGGCTGGCCTTTATGAGGCCAAACGCCCCGTACGGCACATCTGATGCCTTCGCTGGGTCCTGCCCTGCCTGCCAGAGGACATAGCTCTTTAAGGGCCTCGAAGGCACGGCTGGATTTGATTTAATAGCTGAAACATCAGATTCCATTCAGAAGCAATCCCAGCTAAGTATGATTGCTTTCGCCGTGCAGAGCTTTCAGCATTCTTGTCAGCAGCTGCCAGGTCATTGAGGAAATTAATTTATCCGCTCTGGCCAGCTCCTGACGGGGTTCCTGTGACCTGAACAGCACGGGGCTGGCTCCTCCTCAGAGCTGCAGGAGCACAAGGCAGGTGCGGGCAGGGAGGGGCTGGACCAGCCGGGCAGAGAAGCACCTCGGTGGACAGGACAGCCCGGGGCCAGGTGGGAAGGCTCCCCCTGCGTGACCCTGGGATCTCCGACCGACCCCGCTTCTTAGAGCCCCCAGGACCTACGCTTCCTGACTCCCATCCACCGGTGGTCCCCAGACCTCACCACCCCAAGGGCCAAGGACCCGAGGAGGGCTAAGAGTTGGGACCTGACCATGGATGACCTTCTCCAGTGCCCACGAGTCCACCACTCCATTCCAGCCCCTGCCCCTGCGCCCCTGCCAGGCTGGCTCAGGACACCCTAATCCAACCTCAGTGCCTGCTGTGGATCCTGCCCCAGCGGGGCTGCAGGCAAGGTCCCGCCCACCCCTCAGAAGAGGCCCTCCAGGACATGCTGGTCCTTCCTTCTGCCCTCTCCCTTCCCCTGACTCTGCACCCGTCCTGGGACCTGGGCAAGTCCCTCTTCCTGTCTCCCTGTTCCTCTGTCACCCACAAAGAGTGCCTGAATGTGTCCCTTTCCCCTGGCATCCACTGTCACCTTCCCTTTTCAGGCAATGATTTCATATAATGATGGCGCTAAGAACAGAGCAAGATAACTTGGGGTAACTGGGGCAGCACTGCAGCAAGCCCTGCTGGGGGCTATTCCCTCATGTAATCGTGACGCCTGCTCTGAGGAAGGCCTTCTCTCCATCTTGCGGAGGGATGGGAGACAAGAGCTTCCTTTGCACACCAGTGAGCACACAGCTGCCCCCAGGAGAGGCAGGACCCAATCCCAGGGCCGTCTGGTCCCAGAGCCCTGGAACCACCAGATGTCCACAGTGGCACCCAGCCCCAGGGCGCCAGCTCCCACCTCCCTTTGAGCCCTCCATCCACTCCCCTCCTGTTGCCTCTCAAGGGGCCCCCTGGGTGTGGCTCTCACCTTGGCTGCACACTGGACTCACCTGGAGCTATAACGGCTACTGAGGCCTGGGCCCCAGAGGCCCCGAATGGCCTAGGGCGAGGCCTGGGCTTAGCATTTGAGCAGGACAGAATTTGTGGCCTTTGCCCCAACAGAGATCTGGCCTTTGCCCTTGGCTTCTGGGAGGTGATCTGGGTCACACCTGATAGGAGTGCCTTTGTTTAGGGTGGGGGCTTTGGGTCACGCTGGACCAGCTGACTTGAGAATAACCACGGGGACATGATCAATCGGTCATGCCCACGTGATGGGGCCCCGCCAAAAATTCTGGACACCGCAGCTTCTGTGAGCTCCCCTGGCAGGCAGCATTCTGTGCGTGCTGTCACTCACTGATGCTGCGAGAGTAACAGTGTCCCAACTCCATGGGGAGTGGACAAGGGATGCTTTGCATTTGGACCCCCGTCCAGGAGTCTGACCCATGCATCTCTGCCCTCTGATCTTAATCTGTATCCTTTGCCCATAATAAACCATAACTGTGCACATGTGCCTTCAGCACATTCATGAGTCCTTCCAGTGAGTGCTGGATCTAAGCCGGTTCTGGGGAACCCCGATCTCGCAGCTGGTGTCAGAGGGAGGGTGCCCTTGCGTGGAGACTGTGCCCTTAGACTTGACAGGTTGGCCTAGACTCCACATAGGATTGTCAAAAGGCCCCCCGGGGACTCTGACCTGCGGCCATGCCTGGGAACCACCACCCCAGTCTGAGACTGTCACCCCCATTTGGCAGAGGGGTTATGTGTTTTGCTCAAGATCAACTGCAAGTAAGGGGCAGAGCCAGGCTCCGGCTCCAGAGTTGAAAAAGGGTCCCAGAGCCCCCCAGCCACCTATTGTCCTGCGTCGCCTGGCCTTCTGCGGAAGATGCAGCCTTTACCCGGAGTGGGATCAGGCCTGGGGTGCGGGGGCTCACCTGGTTGGGCTCTACAGGTGCGCCTCATGCGGGCAGGTGCTTCCAGGTGCTGACAAAGGCTGTGGGGATGAGCGAGTAGGGCACGGTGGTGATGCAGTTCCACGTGTCCGAGGTGGGGTCATAGCAGTCCAGGGTCTTACACCGCTGGGTCCCGAAGTAGCCCCCCACCACGTAGAGCTTGTTGCCCGAGGCCAGGGCGTGGCAGGACATGCGCTTGGCAGTCATGTCCCCGATCCGCGTCCACTGGTTGGTCTCGCAGTCGAAGCGGTAGGCCGAGGCAGCTGTGAACTCCGTGTCGCCTCCCATGATGAATATCTGGCTGCCCAGGACGGCGGCAGCAGTGTACCGCCAAGGCTGGGGACACTCGGCCTTGATTGTCCACCGGTTCTCTGCAGGGTCGTAGCACTGGACTTTGGACACCATGTCCCGGTGGATGCTGGTCCCCCCGAAGACAAAGAGCTTCAGCTTGGCACTCACGACCGCAGCATTGCTGACGCCATCCCTCAGCGGGGCCACCATCGTCCACTTGTTAGCCCCGGGGTCGTACTTCTCCACCTGCTTCAGGGAGACAGACGGCGAGGCCGGGAAGACCCCAGCCAGGGACGTGTGCCCTCCGACCACGTACAGGCAGTTCTCCAGCTCGGCCGAGCCGTGGCCAAAGCGGGCGATGAGCATGGGTGCTGCCTTGGACCACTCCTCGTGGACGGTGTTGTACACCCACACGTCCTTGGAGACCCCGTTCTCGGAGCCCCGGCCCCCTGTCACATAGACCTTGCAGCCGATGGCCGAGGCGCTGAACTCCTTGCGGGGGCTGGGTAGGTCCGCCTTGGGGATGATCTCCTTGGCCTTGTGGTCCACCTGGTAGATCTTGTCACACATGAAGGTCTGGCCCCCGAGGATGAGCAGCGTGTGTCCGGCCCTGCGCGGCCGGGCACAGGGGCTGGTGACCACGCCGTCGTTCTGTAGGATGCGGGCCTTGCAGCGCAGCGCCTCGTCCACGATGAGCCGCGTGCGTTCATCGGCCATGAGCAGGGCCTCGCCCGACACGGCCTCCTTCAGGCAGTCGGACGGCAGCAGGGCCAGCCGCACGCCACGCAGCAGCTCGGGCAGGTGGGCCTTGCGCCGCTCCAGGTCGTGCCTGACCCACTGCAGGATGGCCTCAAAGACCACGCGCTCATCCTCCGCCTCCAGCTCATCACTCGAGATGAGGTCCAGCAGGGTGTCCTTGGACAGGCTGTTGAAGTCCTCGCTCTGCCGCACGGCCTCGAAGTGCACCAGGCACATGCGCCACGAGAACTCGTAGAGCCGGCGGCACTGGTGGGCGTCCGACAGCAGCATCATGCCCAGGCAGTTGGACGGGAACAGGTTCTTCTCCAGGAACTCGGCGGCTGCGTCACGCACGTCATGGAACTGCAGCATGTCGCCCGCCTCGAGCAGCGACTCTGCGTTCTCCTCGTTGATGACGATGCGGGACGAGTAGGCAAAGTCCAGCAGCAGCTCCAGCACCTCGGGGTGCAGGTTGTCCTGGAAGTTGACCGTGTCGTCACGGCTCTCCCGCAGGCCGTGGCTGAACATGGCCTCGAAGTAGCGGCTGGAGGCGGCCAGCACGGCGCGGTGGCAGGGGAAGGCGCGGTCGCCGGCCCAGAGCGTGACATCCGTGAACATGCGGTGCTTGCGCAGTGTGTTGAGGTGTGCCAGCACGCAGTCGGGGTGCGAGGCCTTGTGGAACAGTGTGATGTTCATGGAGCCTGTGCTGCTCCGCGACTTGCGGGTCTCATGGACGCTGACCGACATGCTGAGCCAACCTGCCGGGGTTGGGGGGACAAGGCCACAGGTGAGAGGGGCCAGGGCCTGGTGCCCCCGCAGCTCCCCGCTCAGCCCCCAAGCATGGCCGGCCCGCCCCCTCCACCCCTGCTCTCTGCTCGGCTCTGCCAAACCCGGCCCAAGCCCCACCCCTCAATCTGCCAGCCAAGGACGACTCAGATGGTAGAGGCTGGGGTTCAGACCAACCACTTTTGCACCAGCTCTGGATACGAGACCCCTTGGGTGACCTCGAGCTGCAGCTACCTCCCGTGGTTGCTAGAACGTGCAATAGTGTCCCCAGCCTGGTTAAGAAGCCAGCAGGGCAGCGCTAAGGAGCGTGTGCTCTGGATGCATTCCACCGTCCGGGGCTGCTACTGTGTGGCCCCATTCTGCAGCCAGGGAAGCCAAGGCTCAGAGATGCAAAGTGGCTGCCTCACGTGCTGCAGCCAGAATTCCCTCGTGGGCTGTCTGGTTCCAGCCCAATCTCTACCCCCCCACTGGCCCAAGGAGACTGGGATTCCTGCAGGGAGACTTTTGAAAGCCGTTCCCAAGGAGCCACAGACCCCAAGCAGAACCTTACACCCCCCTCCGCTCCCAGCGCGCCCTGTCCTGAGCTGAGCTCCAAGCAGCCCTGGCCACACCCCTCACACCCCTTGCCCTTGGAAAGTTCCCCAAGAACTGCTGTCACAGCCCAAGCGCTCAGCATAGACACATTCTGCAAATCCAGGGCTCTCCAGAGGCCTCCGGACCAAGCTGCGATAAGCAAGGTGTGGAGGTGAGGCCAGCTAGCCTGTGGCTCACCCTCTGGACACCTGCTCGATTCCGAGGTCCCAAGGGGAAGGAAGCCAAGACAAAGTCCTGGGTGACAGCGGGACGCTAAAGCAATCCAGATTTGCCTCAACCAAAGCAGCAGGAAAACCTGTAGCCATCGGAGCCTCCCTGGTCCCGACAGGCAACTCCAGGCTCCCGGGCCACAGTGAACGCTTCACCTGCCCCCTCGTCTGGCGTCCTCTGCCGGGCCCGGGACTTGGGGCTCAGAGTGTGGGTCCCCAGAGCAGATAGACACAGGCTCGTCGCCAGCTGGAACGTGGGGATTCCAAAGCACTTGAATTAAAGTCTGGCCGATGGCACGACCCAAGACCCCACTGTGGTACTATGGGAAAGAGGCTCAGCCAGACGGCAGGCAAAGATCCTAGGCCTCAAGAGAAAGTGGCCAAAAAGTAAAATGCATTCAGCGTCCTGACCCCAAAAGCCTGGGCTTCCTCCTTCCCCCTGGTAAGGAGGCCAGAAAAACCCCCTTCTTTTTCATTTTTATTTTCAGAAGTGTAAACTCCCCCCACTCCCCGCTCCAAGTCAATTTTGTACTTAAGTAATAATCTGGTAAAAGAAGGCTGCGATCTCATGCTTCACTGGATTGTAAATTATTGTCCAAGTGCACTGCTCTCTCCCTTGCTCACTCCTCTCCTGGCAAAGAGCCAGGGAAGCCACTGAGTGACGTGATCAGAGCTGCCCGGGCAAGGCCCCTGCTCCCGGGCTGGGGCAGGGAAGACACAGGGGCTGGGCCTGGCCTTGCTGCTCTGGCCCCCGAGCTCCAGGCGGACTGCGGGCCGATGACCCGTCAGTGTCCCTCAGTGCAAACCTGCCACCGCGGAGCACTGAGCTCCAGGTTAGAGGTTCACCTGAGGGGTGTGTGTGTGTTCGTGTGCAGCCCATAGGGGTGGGAGAGTGCTGGACCCGACGTCCAGGCTGTACACGGTGGTCCCCACTCTACCACCTGCCCTAGGGCACCTCTCCCCTCCTCTGCAACTTAGTTTTCTCTATTGTAAGACAAAGTCCCTGTTCTGCTCAGGCCTCTGAGAGTCCCTCACTTGTTGACAATTATTTACAGAGCTTGACCCCCGAGCCTGGCCTTGGAGCCAGGCACTGCAGAGATGAGAGACTGCGCTGACCTGGCCGCAGAGGCTTCCTGGGAAGCCCCCCTGTCCCCACAGGTCTGAATTGCCCAACCTGAATTCCAGCGTTGCAGCACAGCTCCCCAAATCTCACGTGACTGCTAAATCCTTATTCCAGCTTCTGCCTCCTTGATCACCGGGCACTTTCCCAAATGTGGCCATCCACCTGGTGACTGTCCATCTGGCTCCCGTGTATCTGGGCCATTGGAGGGACGTGGCCTTTGATCTGTGTGCCACCTGGGGGACTGGCTCCGAGGCCTCCAGTTCAGGGCCCTGATGCTGAGGCTTGACCTCGGTTCCTGCTGTTCCACAGGCCCCACCTGCTCTGGGCCCCTGAGCACCTCACTGCCCTCGCCCTGTGCCCCACCCCAGCCAGGAAACCAGGCTGCTTCTGAGCTCCACATGGATGTAGCCTTGAATGCTGGGGCTTGGACACCCATGCATGGTGCCCATCTCCTCCTGGACTCACTTTACAGACAGCCCCGGGTTGGAATGCCAGCTCTCTGCCGTGCAAACAGGACGTCACTAGTAGCTGCTCCTGGGGGGCAGTAGGCTCAGAGGCTGCCCACAGGGCCTGGCCCTGGGGCTAGCCAGAGAGTGGACGGCCCTGCTTTCCTCCCACAGTCACATGTGGATACACACTCTCAGCCCGTCAGGCAAAGGCCCTCTTGGGTTTTCTGGCCCCGCGTGGCATGCTTCCCTGCCTTCCGGGCCCAGGTCCACGCTGAGGCAGCTGGCACTGAGGCTGTGGGAATGGGCTGGGCCCCCCTCCACCCTGAGAGGCTGCTAACAGGGCCGCCCTGGGAGGGATTCAGGTGGAGACTTCCTTTGGAGGGCGTTAAGGGCAGGACTGAGAAGGTGCCAAAAAGCAGGGCAAACCCCAACAGAGTAGCCACGTTTGCCCTGAGAATGAGGTCAAGTGGTGACCTCTCCAAGGGCAACGCTGAGTGGGCAGCCCGGGGCCCCTGAGCTGACTCTGTCTCGCTCAGCACCAGGATGCCTGCCCGCTGACGCCACCTCCCACCCCGGCCGAGAGCCCGCGACGCACACACCCAAGCGGGTTCCCACCCCTAGACGGCTGCCGGCCCAGGCTCCTCTGAGCAGAGCCGAGAGCAGCAGCACCTGCCAGGAGGGCCGCCTCCCCTGTCTGTCCCGCCTCCTCCCAGGAGGCGCCCGGACCTGAGTCAGTCTTCCAGGGACAGCCCCGAAGCACCAGGATTCTGGGGGTGGGTGGAGAGGCTCACCAGCCTCAGTTTACAGACAAGGAGGCCGAGGCCCAGACACAGGGAGGGGGCTGCAGAGACTGCGAATCGAGTCTCCACCCAGGCCCACGGGTGCCTAGGGCTGCCCTTCAGCTCCAGACCAGCGGTGTGGGAGGACAGGCCTGAAAGCCGGGGACCCTGGATGCTGTGTGCTCCACCTCAGGCTACTCACCTCCACCAGAAATATACCCGGAAGCCAAAGCGTTACCTCAGCCGTAACATGTCCAGCATTTCCCCCAAACCTGCTCCTCCCCCGATCTGGGAAATGCCACCAACACGCTCCTTGGTGCTCACATCCCATCATCCCAACAACCAGACCACCACATGTCCTGTGGCTGCGCCTCCTACACGAGCCCTGGGCCTGACCCTCCCCCCAACCCCTGTCTCTCCCCTGGACTAAAAGAAACACCCCTCACCAGCCTCTGCTTCTGTTCGTGCCCTCCAGGGTCTGAATTCATCCAGAGACCAGAACCTTTTAAACAGCATCACCTGGATCACACCACGCCCAGCTCAAAACTCTCCAGGGCTGTCCCAGCACCCTCAGTAAAATCCCAGGTCCCTGCTGTGGCCTCCAGGTCTCCACTGGCTACCCCTGTGTCCTCACATCCTGCCACGTCCCAAAGAGCTGCCCCTCAGGCTGTGCCGGACTTGTCACTGGCCTCAGGACCTTTTCACGTGCTGTTCTTCTGCCTGGAACGCACCCCTGCCCACCCCATTTTTCCTGAGTGGCTCACTCTCGTGCCTCCTGAGAGCGGCCACCTTGTTGAGGTCACCCCCTCCCACACCTCCCCTACTTCTGCCTTCCCAGCACCCGTCACAATTTAGCATCATGCGCTTATCTGCCTCCTGCATCTCTGGCCCCTGAAGGCAGGGACCGTGTGTGGTGCTGATGGGACCCGGCACAGAGTGACCACTTGACTGGACTAAATGACAAAGCTAAGACGCATATGGTGCATAAAGCTCACCTCACTAACATCCACTGCGGTGCTCGCCCAGCTGCCCTCCTCCAGGCCCAGAGAAGATGCAGGCTGAGACGGCTGTGGATGCTGCTGAGGTAGGTGTGACGATGGGCGGGCATGGTGGACATGCAAGCCAGCACGGCCCCCCTCCTGCTTGCCCCAACATCCAGCTGTTCTCAGGAGCCACCCTCCTCCACTCCAGGCTGTTCAGACACAGGATCCAAGGCAGGGCACTGGGCTGGCCAAAGTGGTGCATCCCTGGGCTCCAGCATCCTCCCAGCCATTGTGACGGGCCCACACCCAGGATGGGCCCAGGAGACTCTAGTCTACAATGTTTACTCAGCTGCAGGGGGTGAGACCAGCTCTGTTCCTGGGGCTGCTGACAGACTGAACCGAGGCTGGGAGCGGAAGTGCTGCCCGAGGTGGGAGCTGCACAGAGGCGGAGAGCGGGGCCCTCATGCCTGCTGACCCGAGCCAGTCCGCCCCCTTACTTTCTGTCACTTGCCACCAGGAGTCCCAACTAGTAAAAGGATCACTGGGACATCGGTTCCGGAATCAGGGATCAGGACTCCTGGCCTTAGTAAGGGGTCTTAGCTATGCGAGTCCTGCCACCCTTCCCACCTCCAGGGGAGGCCACTCTAGACACCAAGAACGGGTTTCATGAGGTGATTTCCAGTGTTCAGTACCAGTTACACACCCAGCCCTATGCAGGGGCTGGGGGATCCAAAGAGAGTATATAAGACAAAAGGTTCCCAGTGGCAGGAAGGGTGAGCACCAAAAGTGTGTGTGCAGTCAGGTCTGTCCAGACTCTTGGAAGCCTGTCTCCATGGCC